ACATACGCACACTGCCACTACCGTGTTTACGAGACTCTGATACAACGTGAGTAGCAGTAGAACTCCTCGTAAAAAAGAGTTCGTCCAGGGAAGTACTGCCACCTTACCTATTTCTGTCACCAAGCAGTAACGTGAGCATTACTGTGTTCCGGTTTTGAAGAGTACTGGTGAAATTATAGGCACATGAGATTTGCCAACTTATATCTCGATTTACGATTGAAAGCTCTGAGTGGCACTGCACCTGCTATGGACAGGCGTGTCGCTCACCACCAGGTGCTCGATTTGTTCGCCCCGTCACTTAGTATTACATAAAATTATTAGAAAATAGCAGTTGAAATGTAGTTGGGAAGCAATTTAGATTTGAACGACTGCAGGTCAACTTCTTGGCGTGTCCACTCTGACGTTTACATTTGTGAGGAACAATACTTAGCGACTGATACAGCATTACCAGTGGATTCGTACAGGACCTCGCATGTATAGGTGTAGGGAGATACGCACTCTCCGAGCTGTAACCCCACCAGTGCATGGTCCCTTGCTGCAGCCGACTTGGGAAGGCAACCTATTTAGTGACTTCCAAGTTTGCCAAGGTACAACTGTAGTAGAAGTGCCGGTCGGCAGTGGAATGAGTGATACCGTGGGGTATCTCTCCTCAGGTCAACTGCATAGCGACTGTACGTCAACTGCATAGCAATTGTACTTCAACTGCAAAGCGATTGCAGCTCAACTGAATAGCGATTGTGACATATGCCAACGTAACTGCTGGATGGTGCCGAGCTGGTCTCGTGACTACACCATTAAAAGCGTGATGGAAAGAGTTTCGAGCAAGTATGGCATATTGTGCAAAATTCGGCCCAGGTAGTCAAAGATGGTTGATAGGATTTTAGGAAGGTGGAAGATTTTTCCCGTACAAAGATGCTGTAATACGAAATTCAAAAGGGTTTTTTCACGACAATACGGTTTACGATACCCTATTCCTTTTGGGTTAATACTGTAGAAAGCAAAGCTTATAATATTGACTCAAAAGAGTCGAGTAAGTTCCGGACACTCTCATTTCGAAAATTGTCTTTTGAAGTCTGTGCGTAGCCAACAACCTCAAAACGCAAAGTAAACCTCAAACCACTGACAAGCAAATGAAAACAAATGAACAGGAGAAATGGCAGTAGACTAATTATTTATTTTCAAATTGGACTTAAACACGTAAGACAACGGTCTACTGTCACCTTGACACATACATTTTTAAGCCCCACGTGCCAATAATTTCACCAGCACCCTTACCCTTCAAAACCGAAACTCAGTAATGCTCACATTAATGCTTGGCGGTAGAAATAGGTAAGGAGACAGTACTTTCTTGGACGAACGAACTTTCTTAAGGAGTTAATAAAATTAATAAATGATCTTCAAGAGCAAGGAGACGCAAAGATTATTATTTATATGTGATCTCTACAGTACTGCTGCTTAGTATCGTGTGTATGATGAGAAATTAGAAATTCCCAAGGTACATTAATTGCATGACAACACAACATGACGACTGTTACTTACCAAGTATGTATAGAGCTCAATAACCGTAACAACACTCATTATTTGTTTGTCATTACAGTCGAAAGTTGTATAAGTGTTGTAAGACATCGGTAGTCAAGTAATCGATAAAGCGACATCGATATCAATTAATGACAAAAATAAAATTAATTGTTAATTTGTTCCATGATACTAATTAATGAAAAAAATGGTGTAATTATAATACTTGCGAAAAAAATTTTTTAACGCGCACACACTCATGGCCGCGCACTGGGAAAACCCTGTATCGCGGGTGCCATGGACACACATATAGACATACACAAATTACAGCTAAACTCACGAGAGAAATAAATGTAGGCCAAACAAATATTTCTCCCCGGCAGGGACTCGAACCCGGTACCTATGCGTGGCAGTCTGGCATGGCAACTGTTCGGCCACCGAGGCTGTTAGTGTCCCATAATCATTATGGATAGTAAAATTTATTTTTATATTTTTCCACAAATTAAAAAAAAATTTAAATCAAGTTACTCGTTATCATAACTTGCCTACTTATCGAAAAAAAAAAAACTTATTAAATAAAACATCCCGTGAACCATGGAACCTGTAAAGGGTCCGAAACGTTGGTTTGTTTGAAAAAACAAATATACGCGGTTTAAAAAGTTACATTTAATAAATTTAAAAAAGTTTCATTTAATAAAACTAATTTGGTCTACTGTACTCGGATCCCATAGTGCAGCAACTGACAGTAGCCTTATAGGTTTTAGATTGGTGGATATAACAATATATTGTATTTTCCTATAGTCTATATACTGTAATTATACGTTTTCTATTTCTATATTGCATTTTTCGTTGAGTTAATTTTTAATAATATTCAGTACATTTTTAAACTTACTGAAATTCGCGCTTCAAAAAAGAGCTACATAAGTAAAAAAAAAGATAGTATTATACAACTTCTGTGATGTAGGTATATACAGTTACGTCATAGACAGTAACGCGGTTATGACGTCACTATTGACGACCTCGGTGGCCTAACGCTTTGCACTGTGGATGTTGAACGAGGAAGTCCCGAGTTCGATTCCGGGTAGGACCAATTTGGGAAAAGAATTTTTCAAAATTGGTTTCTAGCTTGGGTGTTATAAGTAGCGCTCCGAATTCCGTTGATTTAGTACTCACAGCAAAAGGAGTAGTTTGAGACCAGTTAAGTGGTGTGACTGTCTGGCATATTAATATATTTTTAATTAATTGTGACTTTTCTACACGACGGTACGTAAATATAAAACATTAGACACGCTAACATCACACACGTTGCTCTGATTCTAAAGTAAATAATTAAATCACTTGTTTTATGGAAATCGGAAACAACGACGGTACCACAAACACCCAGAGACCCGCGACAATATAGATGAGTTAGTTGTCTATATTGACCAGGCCAGGTATCGAACCCGGGAACTCGGAGATAGCGACACTATGAAAACCGGTGTGCAATTTCACAGAAAGGCATTTTATTCATATTAAAAACAATCGTATAGGATTTTGAATAATTATTTTCTCTGTAGAACCTTATTTTCATTGTGTAATACCAACGACGAATTGACAATAAATGTTATCTACGTTTGTACAAATAAATGACTAAAAAAAATTTAAAAAAACTTTTCATGATTTGGAAACAGCTAATGAAGAATTATGGCAGTATATAGCAGTAGACCGAACCCGGTCTACTGCTCAGTTGGTCTAACTTCGGCTCAGACCAACGAACTGAGTCAGTTGGAGGAGTCAGTTGGTGGCCGCGGTGTGTCCACCACAAATCGACACCAATTCTTTACATTCATTCAATAACAAATGTTGCAAATGTTTGAATTCTGTCCTGCAAAAGGTGTTATTTGTTGCAAAAATAAAATTGTTGTTACTCTGGCAACTCAAACTTCAACTAGTCCCGCTGCGACGGATGTGGTGGAGTCTAAATCACACTCATGCTACGGAGTCAATAATATTAACTATGAAACTTCGTACAACCATTCATAGTTGAAGCGGTGGTAGTCAACATTATGTATATTTGTGAATATTTACTAGTAATACTTGACAAAAAAAAAAAAAAAAAATAGTGATGGGATCTGCATGTTGCAGACGGTTCACAACTTTGCAAAACAAGTGAAGTCCTCCAACTTGCATGAGGCCAGCTTAGCGAACCGTAGCCTGAATCCAAACAGGGTTGAATGAAACCCGTGCACAACAGTGGAACGTACAATGAGTTGACGACAAAGATAACTCATTTTAAAAACAATAAATATACGATTGACCCAGCTTGCTTTGTTTGAGAAACCAATATGTTTGTTTACGAATTTAAACTTACGCCGTGCCGTTACTACAATTTTTAACATATTATGTTGTACAAACTTATGGTGATCGTACACCAGCTGAAATATTAGTACACTTTGTTGCGGTGTGTATAGCTAGCCTTTAACTGTACACACAAAACTTTTGTCTCCTTCTGCGCAGTTTTAAACCTGATTAAGCGTAGTGTCTTATTTAAAAAAAATGTAGCCGCTGCACTCAACTTAAATTTGAACACCAAATTGGCATCAATAGTTATACTAACTAAATAAATTAAGTGGGTGTATAGATAATGTAGTAGGCCAAGGTCTAATAAGGGTCGTACCCCACTTATCACGCTTCAGCACCGAGTTCACATTAAATGGTCATTTTTTCAGGACTCGTCATAAAGCATCAAGCTTCCGACTCTGCAAGCTACTTGTTACGTACTATGTTGCAATAAGTCAAACTCCATCCATCATATCTTTAATTATCCACTAGTGGGTACAGCTCTCTCACTAGCTTTCTTCTAGGCTTTTATTAACCCACTTAAAAAAAGGAGGAGGTTCTCAATCGACATTTCGACGATTCTTTTTTTGTTGGAAAAGGGTACCTCAGTAGTGGTCTTATTCAATTTTGAAAAATAAACTCCACCCCTAAGGTGGCAAATTAGGGGACGAATTCTGTTTATTACGTTTCACCCACTTTCTGCTAACCAATTTCAATAAAACTTGGCACCTAAATGTTATTTCACAAAATTTTAATGTCGGTTTTTTTTTATAATGAAATCTCCAATCGTTGGTTCATCTGGTTGAGAAACAGTCCCATAAATCAGTTACTGAACAAACCTCTTCTAAAGCATTTAATTGAAAGAATACAAAAGGCCACAAAAATCACAAAATCTTGTCCCATTGTTACCTCAATATGTTTTACTTGGAAGTACTTGGTAAAAGGACACCGGCTAAATCTGTTAATTAGTACCTTCTAACAAGAACAGTACAACGGAATAATAGTGTTAATGTTTACACCTCAAAATTATCCCCCTTTTCCAAGAAACATTTTATGTACTGGTTGAAGATTTGGTACTTCTTTATTTATATGTTATTATATTATCTATTATTCTTACATGTTACAACAATTACAATTCTTCCAATAAATAAATAATAACAACTTACCGGCAGCTTGGAGTAGAGCTTCAAGTCTGGCCTGCATCTCAGGGTCAACAGCCTGCTCGGGGTCATCGTGGGACAGTAGGAACTTGGACGAATCTGCACCAGCACCTTCTTCCTCCATCTCCGCCTGTCAATGTGGAATTATGCATTTTAGTTATAGTAATTAAGCAGGGTAACGCTCATCTGGACGTTTTTAATTCTAAAATATATTTATACAAGAAGCAATTGCATGTATCGCTTGAATTTTAACTTTTAATAATTTTGTGTTGTATTAAATGGTTATTATGGATTATGAAACAAATCACTCTGTAATTTTTATTAATTTTTTTTCGTTTAATATTTTATTCTTTTGCATTTTGTTTTCATTTCGTAAAATTTTGTAAAATGTACTTTTTAAATCATGTTACTTGCTAAGAAAATTTTATCATGCTGTGTACACTGTTTTTTTTGGAATGTGATCTAGTATATTTATGTATTAAGTTGTATATGTTACCAATGTGATGATTACATTCTGTTTGTGTACCTTATAAATAAAATAAAATAAAATAAAGTAATTGTTACAGGAAGAGTAAATCACATTATTTTTACAAAATAATACAAATATTAATTTTGTAGTAAATGAGAGTAACGGTTACGACGTCAGTGACACCATGGGGTGTTTGAACAGCTTAGGTGTGTTACAGTAATTGTAGGATTATATTAGATAGGAGACCTATCACCGTTACGAGTAAAGTTTTCTAACATGTTAATTACTATCGCTTATTGCAATTTTTTTAATGCTGCTTCGTCAATCTTAACAATACTCAGTTGCAAAGTGTTATTTTTCAAGATTTTAATGATTATTTAAACTGTAAATACTTGTTGTTGTGTATTTATGAACATTATACATGTTTTGATAACAATAAATTAGTGTAAATAAGGAAACTGGTTGCAAAATATGATTTCTTCAGTTTTCTTCAAATATACTGTACACACTTAATGATCATCTCTCACTAGAGCACGCAGAGACTAAAATCTTCCCTTGCTATGATACTAATAATATATTCTTTCACCTATCTATCACACATACCCTTTAGTTAAGGGTTACTCTTGACCTGGCCTTTCTTTAGAACATCTTAAATTTTCTTACATATTTTCATTGTCTAGTTACAGAGCTTTAAAATGTATCAAAATCAAAATTTTATCTTCTTTATTTCATGTTAGAGTTACATAACTTCAGTTAATTCCTAGTTTTGTATTCATAAAAAAGCATTTTGCATGAATGTGTTCAAAATTTGCATTCTTTTATTTATATATTAATAAGGTATTAAAATGACTGGAAATAAACAATTATGAATATTATTTTAATGTTTCTTATGCTAAAATATACAACACATGAGCTTCAAGTATAATTTTGTAGCAGCAATGATTGAAAGCTTATAAGGCAAAAATGTTATCATCTATTCTAAAAGATTCCACAGCTGTAAAGTTGATAATTCACTATGTCACTGTGATTCTTAGCAAGCACAACATAAAGTTTAAATTTAGTAACTTGTATGTAAATAAGTGAATTTGAATCACCGTTTTAATTTACTAGTGTTTGCTGATTCATAGTTTAACACAAATACACCTGTATTAGTGTAGATTTTGTCAACCTAAATTGACAGAACTTAACAAAATAATAACAAGCCATTGTTAATTCAATTTGAAAAAGGCAAAGTCAAATAGTCCTTTAACATTTTGGGGGCAAGCAATGAACTTCTTATGGATGAATAAGTAGTATTTATTCAGATATGTTCAAGTAAAAAATTGATACAGTTTACAAGTTTAAATAGTGGAATGATATAAAATTTTGACTACATTATAATAAATCTAGAAAAACTATTGCACACTGTTGTAAAATATTAATTTCAATTGATTATTTAAGTTACAGAATATTAAACTTCGATATAAGAAACAATTATACTTAAAACCAATATTTCCCACTTCGCACTAAACAAACTCATTTCTGGATTGAATGTGTTGACAAAATAATTCAATTGTGAGAAATACATCATGCAAATTTTAAACAAAATATGCTATAGAAACAAATAATATGTGTAAGCAGCACAATATGTCATTAAATAAAGAGATTCTGCCTTGTTAAGTCAATCATGAGTTAAAACATTAATATATGAAAAACTATGTAAGTTGCATACTTTTGTCAAAGGCAGTTTATCAATATTTTTGAACATAAATATTCACACACCATGTTGATAATTTTCCTTTGTACATACATTTGATAATTTTTAAATAAAATTAACTCAATATAGCACTACTGGCAGAATGCTTCAGTCTTACTTTGCAACATAAAAAAACAGCCAACCTCACTATTCAGCAGAAACAAAACACAGTTTCAGGTTAGTAATGTTAGCCAGCACAGATAAATTGAAGCACCACCACTGCCACTGACACAAGCACATGTTAGAATCACAAGGACCATTCAACATCAAGAAAACCAAAACATGTGATATAAACTGTCCATTGCACACACATTATGCAGGTTAACGGTCAGTGTCACTCAAACGGCAACAGCAATTGGTGAGGAAGCCAGATGCACTCACTAATGTTGTCTTCGACTTACCAACAGGTCTGGCCTGCTAAGGCACAAACAAGCCAGCAAAATCTATAAACACCAACGAGAAATATATGAGATGCATTTACTATGTGGTGCTTAGGGATGGTAATATAGCTAACACAGCTATCAGTTAGTGTCAATGGTCCTTGCAATTCACCACCAACCATTTTTGCGCGAATGGTAGTAGGCGTTACGCGCGTCGCGAGTGCGACATGAAACAATACACACTATGGTGCACTACTTCTGTCACCACCACACTTATACATTACATAATTCGCCACTTGAGTCCAAATAACCTCATGAAAACACTGCCTTTTGAGATTTGCACTCAGAATGCATGTGACTTCAGAAACATGGCCACCTTACTCCAAACCTTATCCAAAACATAAATAGACAGTGAAATTGAACCTTGAAGCGGAATCGCGCGTTTCTTTCGCGGAATTACAAAGAATCAATTGAATACTGCCTAGGAGCGGCTGGCATAAATAATTTCATGCATTACTCAGTAGTACGTACGTACTTAGGACTATCTGACGTTTTACGGAATATTTGGCAAGCAACTAGCACTGTGTCGAGAATGGAAAATAGAATGTCCCTTTGCAACCCGCTACACACGATTCCCGAACAGATGATGCTGATGGAGGGCATCGTGGGTAAAGAAGGAACCGTTTGATCGTACAAGATGTCCCTTGCAGTATTTGGAGCGGTACAGATAGCACATTCCCTCATTGCCACCGCCTCTGCCAAAAACAAAACACGTTTTACCTCGGACACAGAGTCATCCTCGCTTTCCGAAGAGTCCGTCATGTATTTGGCAGGCGCTCCTGAGTACGTCTCGGTTTCAGATTTGGCCGGACTCGAAGCCGAACTTTGAGGAGTGGACGATTTTACCACATCAAGTTGCACATTCACCTTATCGATATTTCGGTTTTCAGACTGTCCAACATTCTGCATTTTTGTCCTAATCCAATACAACTTAATTAGTCTTTCAGTATCAACACTTTTTCTAGGAAATTAACACGTTCTTATATTAGCAAACAAAATTTATTTCGTCATTTAGCCAGGTTGATACCCGCCATGTCTACTACTATGGCGAGGTTCCCGGATGCTTCAAGTAGGCTAACCAATTATCTCCCTCTTCTGACGAAATTAGGAATTATTTTGTGCTGCCATCTACCTAAAACAATGTCAATCTAAAACTAAAGACAATTCGTTTTTTAGAGCCAAGATTTAAAAATCATTCAGTATACTATGTGAAGTAAATTAATATTTATCTCCAAAACATATCTCTCAACTAGTCGTTTCTTTAAGTGTGATTTAGTTTTCTTAGCACTCACATCGATTTTGTATTTAAGCATATAAAAAGATGAGAAATTTTATATTATTGATTTACCTAAAATACTTATTAATAACAAAAACTTGCATGGAATGAAACAGATATTTTTTTTTCCCATAGACAAACTATGACTCTTTCTTCTAATTTATTATAAAAAAACTGAAATGTGTAATTTAATTGCACGCAAATTCAAATTGTAATGTTTATAAATTTAAAATATTTCACAAGTTATTTAGTTTTATGTAATTCAGTTCAAAACAGTAACATTCACAAAAATGTTGGCATACTAAAAAAAAAGGAATTGTAAAATAATTTTCCTGATTTCCTAAGAAAATGTGGGAAGTGGCTGAGAAATATTTGTGTTCAAAACGTTCTTCGAATGATTAATGAAAAATTAACTTTTTAAACATTTCTGTGTTGAAACATTTTAAAACAAACTGTTTTTACGAAACAGGACAAAATGTTTTCAGTACATAAAAAACAGCTGACATTTTTTAATAATAAACCAGTGTAACTTTTCTGTTAAAAATGTTTGAACGTGTTCAATCAACAATATAAGAGCGAAGCCGGGTGTGTGAAATGTGTACATAAAGTTTGTAACCAAGCAACATGGCTAGGGACGGTGACCTGCCGACTATATTTAACCCCAAGCGAGTTCGCGCGCCATCCGTGATAATAACTAGTGAGGAGGTAGTGGAAAGCGAGCGGGGGGCTGGCGATGCAGACCGGGAGCGGCCTAACGGGCCTCCAACACCGCTAAGCCCGCGCGCACCGTTAACCCCGCAAACATCGGTCTCATCAGCACCCCCGCTCACCAGCCAACCTTCGCTCCAGCAGGCTTTCAGCGAATCCGCCGCCAGCAGTCAAGATGAAGAGCGCCAACTCCGTGACAAAAAATGCCCCAGATCGTGTTGCTCAAAGTTCGCTAAAAAGGTCAGAACTTTAGATTGTTGCAGAGATTATGATTTGACCTATATCTGAGTTTACAATCTTTGAGCATTTACCCGATTTACGGAACTTAGTTGCTACTATCTTGATTTAGGACCTTATGTAACCTTCTGAAGTTTACTACTGCTAGCTGTACTACTGCTCTCAAATAATAAGAAAAAAATATGGGTAAATAGTAGCTACATTTAAAAAAAATTATGGATAATTAATTAATAATGCTACTTTCTCCATATTATGTCATAAACATTTTATGCTAGAGTTAAACAAACAAAATGAATATGAAAAAAAATTTAGTTAAAAATAAATTGTTGGTATATTCTTCTAAACATGTTAAGTAGCTGCCAAAGATTAACATTGTTCCTATTTATATAATTTTGTATTAAGGAAAAACATCATCATTATTGTCACCCAATTACACGTCCCACTGTTGCGCAAGCGTCTCTTCTCAGGATAGGGCTTAGATCGTAGTCTGCAATGCTGGGCCTATAACAGTTGGGGACTGCACACAGTTTTCAAGGATCCTTGTAACCTTCTTCAACATGCAAGTTTCATCATTGTGTTTCAACGAGTCTTCCAACCCTGGCATTGGCACAATCGTCATTTAAATGGCAAAGCCATGTCCTCACACAACTTGACTAGACTTTGCTGTTAGCGAGAGGTATTGCTTCTACAAATGTACAAAATGTGAGAATTAAAGTCGTAAGTCATGCCATCACAAGTATTCACTTCTTTATTTAGAAGCAACCATTCTACCAATGGGTGAACATCTCTTAAACAGACAATTTAATAAATACTTTATGCTAGAGCTTATGTAGTTTGGAAATCAATGGAAATCAATAATTTGGAATTTTCACAGAAAATGGCTTAATATTGGATAATGCGACAAAATTGCTTATATAAAATGCAAACATTTTCAAATTTAGGTAAAACATGAAATGTGGAATCATGTGTTAAAAATTAACGTGGGATGAGCATGGTATGCATAAGAAATAGTTGTTTAAATTTTAATTGCATTTATTTCAAAGTCAGTATTTAGTGAAATAATTGTTGTTCCTAGTGAAACAGTGATATAATACTCCTTGTGAAACAGTTTGTCTGTCAGGGAAGTGTTTTGTGATTGTCAGGGAAGCATTGCCATTGTACACACGCCAGCACATCAAGGTACACATTGACATATCTCGTTCCGTTGCAAAGGAGGGATTTACAAACAAAAATGTATAGTCTAATGTGCCATTGTTCGTACCTATTTCTGATGTCAAGCAGTGATATGAGCATTACCGCATTAGAGTTTTAAAGCATAAGGGTGCTGGTGAAGGGTACAAGGTACTTGTCTATGTTAAATCACAGGGTGAGGGTACAGTGGCAGTGTTCCTCAAATCTTTGCTATTAAAATTCAAAATGGCACTGCAACCATTCTTTTTCTTCTTTTTGTTTAATGGCGCTACCCCTTAGATTTCGCCAGTATCGAGTTTTCTGCTTAGTTATTTTTAAGGTCTTCTGTAAACTCTGCTATTCAGTGAATATTGTGAGTGCACAATGTGATATAAAAAATAGTTCCCTGTTAGATTTTAAAGTTGCAGAGCTGTTGAATTACCTGAAAGGGACATAGAACAATATATACAGACAAATGTTAGTAGAACAAATTATAATTTTGTGTTATTCCTGGTTATATAATCACAAAGGACTTTAATACAGGATGTATTCACAAGGCAACTGTTACGGGTAGGTACATCTCTTACCACCAGGTGTACTTGTTCCGCCTGTCACTTGATGTCATAAAAAAAAAACAATTACTTTAAAAGGGAAGTTTGTTTATATAATAGTAATCTTCTAAGCACAAATACTTTTTGCTAGTGTTAATGTGGCTCGCAAAGGTAGACATGCATCACTTGCATATGATTTTTGCAATTTAATATTTGCCCATAAAATGTTGCTGGTTTTTTATATCAAAGGGTGATCTTAGTAACCGGAAGTTGGTTTTTGAAAATCCTGAAATAAAACCAAAATACCAATTCATCAGCTTTTTATTTTTAAGCTACCAACATCTCGGGCTTGGCTATACTACATATTGTAAATACTTCATTACATTATCCTTATTTTCAGATCTACTATGGCATCTGTATCATGCTTATCATCACCGCGTCCTGGGTGACCACAACACACTGCATCAAGTACATGTATCTGCAGGAATACCCACCTTACAGCTATGGAATTGTCTACACTACCGACTCTACCACCATACCTTACAATAACTTCACGTCTAGGGTACGCACACATGTGAGTTTTGCCTTTTACTGAGTTATTACTTTCATTAAAGTTTCTTTGTTAAAACTGGTGAGAACCATATTTCCATAACAACCATATTGATGATCATCATACATTAAAATCAAAATTGTGCCTCCTGCCACAGCCTTGATAAGCTTAATAGGAGGTACCATCCACTGTTAATGTAAAGTTAATTGTATTAGTGAAATAAACGTTTTATTATTATTATGTAAAATGATGGTCATGAATTTATTACAACAAAAAACATCAACTATTTTATCCATAATACTGAACAATTTACAGAGATTCAGTAAAATTAGTTATCTGTATTGTCTATAGTAATGTTAAAATTGAATTGTATGTATACTGCCCATTAATTTATTATAATTTTACAACTTATACATAAGTTTCATAAGTAACACCTTTATGGCTTCATAGGATTTACTGTTTAAGTTACTTCAATATGTTCAATTTTACAATTCCTACTTTATGTGGTCATATAGTTATCGAACTACATAACACTATGTTTATCTATACACCGTGAATTTTGGACTTAGTACCTATATATTACTATTTTTTAATGAATTGCGAATAATTACCCAGGCATTCGTTCACTATGATTAATATTGACATATTGCATAAGAAAGTGTGATTGATTACATACCAAAAACTGCCACAGACATGAACATTTAAATACTAGCTGGATTGAATTTGATCAAACTTGCTTTGACAATGGTATCTTACAAAATCAGAAAGTAGTACAGCATGTGCTTTTTGCGGCGTGCATTTTTTGCCTTTTGTTTGCCAGCCTCAAGGAGTCTCTACACTGTAATATTTCAAATGCAGAATCACGAAGTTCAAACTGAATTTAACGAAATAAAGAGCATTAGTTTTGTATACATTTGCTGAAACCAACTTGCATGTGTTTGTTACAGAACTTCTACAACGCACCATTTTTCACGGCGTGGTTCTGCACTAACTTTTTGACATTCTACTACCCTCTCTACTTGCTAGTTGTGCTTATAAATAACAAATGTAAAGCAGCTAACGACATTGTCTATGAGGCTTTTAGTGAATTCAAGGATAAGGGATTTACTTTTGGTAAGTAGCCGCCATTAGGTTGTTCGTGTGTTGTCTTAGTAGTAATACAATGTTTGTTAAAAAGCTGCTTATCGTGCGATTCTTGCAAATGATACAGCAATGTGATAAGAGAGTGTTGCAGTGTAGAAGAAGATTTAGTGATAGGGAAAGATTGCTTCGTATACGTAGAGAGAATAATCATGTAAACACTTTATTTTGCCACAAAGTAAATTACAAATATTAAGAAACAATTTAAAATATTAGTAGCGAGCTTATCCCATAAAGAGATTTCCTCTATTATATACATATGTATCTTAACCTTTGAAAAACTGAGTGGAAAGTTGGTTTTTGGATTGGCAATAAAAATAAATAACTTGAATATTGCATTCAATTTATTATATCAAATTTACATATGAAGTATGTATATGTTAAGTAATTTTGGTACTCTAATACATATAAAATTTATAGTAAAATGAATTTATAATTTAACACTATAAATAAATATGTCATATGTATCAAATATTTTGTAAGCTCTAACATGAGGTTGTGTTCTGAATGAATTAGTTATGAAACAAGATTCTCTGTTAAATGGTCAATGTTGTGACATTTTGAAAACTTTTTGGTTTGTTGATGGATAATCCTCAATCTTACTAACACTGACACTGTATCCCATATTAAAAAAAAGAATTTGTTTTAATTTTTTGGAGTTATTTAGCTTATAAGAGAATTCTTCCGCAGCCCGCTTCTTAAGCCGTTGCGGTCTCTTCTGCCTGTTGTGGGTGGTTACCATCTACATGTACACATATTCGCTGAAGATCCTTCTCTCTACTGACGTGGTGGTTCTCTTTGCTACAAACGTCTCATGTATATACCTTCTATCTTGGGTTATACTGCATGAGCAATTTGTAGGTGTCAGGGTGAGTGGATTTTATAGATTTTATTTGATGTAAATAAAGAGAAAAGATAAGTTTACATTTTTAGTACATAGTAATGTGTTTATGAATATTCTCAGTATAGAATAATAAAAAACCGATCTCAAAAGTTCGTGAAATTACATCTATTTGCCAAGTTTTATTGGATTCGGTTACCGGAAAGTACGCGAAACCGGATTCATCACCTAGTTTGCTACCCTTAGAGGTGGAATATTTTCTTAAAATATAAATGAGACTCCGACAAAAAAGAATCACCAAAATCCGTTCACAAAGCCGGAGTTATCGTGTATCATACGTAAAAAAAACTTACCAAAATACCTCCTCCTTTACAAAGTCGGTTAAAAATAGTGTTAGATATAACATTAATAAGAGGAACAAAAATGTTCCTGACAGTGGTCTTCACAAAGTCACGAATTCATTTATGGGGCAATGTATACCGTGTTTTTTTAAATCAAAAAGAGAAGAAGTTGAAGAGAAAATGAAGAAGAAGAGCTAGACCACTAGCCTGTGTTGTCAATAAAAATGAATAAAATTAATCAAATTTTTTTTAGACCTGATTGACACTTTCAGGCTCCACAATTAATTTCAGAGTTAATTTCGTCGGTCTGGTCCTCATTCTTAACTTCCTAATTTTGAACCCACTTATTAAATTATATTAGAATGAGTTTTATTTATTTATTATTAAGAGTTAATCAGTTTTTGTTTTTTTTATTGATTGGACTGTTTGTTGTAGTGTCAACTTCCCTTTTTGTGTATAGTTTATTGTACAGGAAAAAATAAAAAAGGCACAATTACCCAAGGAAAATACAAACAAAAGGTTCTGCTTGTTTCTAACAGTTTATTTCCTGCAGACCTAAATACAGGACACCATACTAAAAGAACGGGCATACATGTGCAACAAAAAAATGTAATATAAAAACAATATAATATTAAATAATTATAAACTATATAAATACAATATATCTTAATATAATACCTAAGATATGGATGGAATAGTATGTATGTATGTATATGTCTTCATGTATGTCAATTCTACTTGAGACCTTTTTACTTAGTGAAGTTTGGCGGTCAGGTTCGCAAACTTTTTCTTGTCTTAAATATAATTACTTAATAAATATAGTTACGTCTTTCCAAACAAATAGATAGTGGCAGCGATTCTGTGCGACACGGGAATTGCATTGCTCGCGTACATGGACGGCATCACGGGCAGCTCTACCCTCGGTGGGGTTGTACTAGCCGCCTGCGCAGCGGCCGGCTTCGCCATATTCAAGGTATTCATAAATATCTGTGTTTTATTTTTTCCGTGTTGTTCAATGACATGAAGAGGCAAATAAAGCCCCATTCGCAGAATGGTGCGGATAAACAGAGAGAGATGAAGCATTTATAATAATTATTATAAAAGCTTTTTTTGCAATATTGATATTACAGCCTAGAAGAGGCAAATAAAGCCCCATTCGCAGAATGGTACGGATAAATAGAGAGAGATTAAGCATTTATAATAATTATTAAAAAAAACTTTTTTTGCAATATTGATATTACAGCCTAGCCTTAAATAACATCGTGTATAAGTACGGGCATATGTATAAAAAGGTAAGCAATTAAGATACGTATACTTAAGCGTATACGAACGCTAATTTTATTTTGCAACAGCTAATTTTAACTAAACAAGACGTAATAATATATAACGATTTGTAGTATCCACAACTACAAGTAATAACGTATAGCCGCCCGCCTACGCATTACCACGTCCCTCCAGGTTGACGGTCATACATAAGACTTATCCCTCTACAGCGACGTCATGTGACGTGTGCGCTCGAGAAAAATAGCACCCCTCATGCAATAATGGCATGGCTCTAATATTGTTGATAGAGTTACAAGAATTGGAGAGGATGTGGTTTGTATTTTTCTGTATCCAATGGAGCAATAAACATTTTTGACGTAACTTATGGTATTCCTTGAGGGGTGCGAAATCATAGACAATCCGCATACACTACTATTGACCATTGATGATCGCGGTAAACGTAATGTACCCGCTTCTATAATAAGATTCCGGTTGACATTTAAAATATGCTATTTACGAGGTTTAAAATTGCAGTGAAACAAAAACTTTATACTAAACGTTATATACAGAGTGTTTTTTTTTTAATGGGACAGTATAGGGAAATCCGAACCCATAGAAGATACAAGGAAACTGTCTTAGGAACCATTAAGTCTTGTGAAAACAATTTTGGATTAGTCAATTTTTTGGTCAAGCGTGAGTTGTGTATAAAATGAATAAAAATTTTTAGGTCCAATGTATTGGACGAAAAAAATCGAAACGGCAGATGTTGATCAAATTTCATAAAATATGTTTTCATACAAGGTGAATAAAATTGTCATTTTTTTTTATTAAATCTTGTATATTAGGCTAATTATACAGCTTTTGAGTACCTACATTTATTTTTTGTGTATTCTAAGGTGCTGTTCAGAAAAGTAATGGGCGAAGTGAACTCCGGTCAGCGAGCGTTATTCTTTTCCATCTTGGGTATTGTGAACGCATCGTTATTATGGCCGGTCTGCCTGGCGTTGTACCTAACTGGATCGGAGGCTATTCCCTCCCATCGGATGCCTTGGACGTATTTACTGCCAGCCAGTGTTGCTATGCTCGGTGAGTTTTGACTTTTGGAAACAGCTATCTGGAAATACCGACGGTTCGTGGTGAAGCTAAACGCTATTCAGTTCACTAAATGCATTAAACTGGGTGCTCAATCTAAGATTACCCGACATACTATTGCTGCCAAACCCAATTAGGAGATTGAAAAGAGATCATGTGCTGTATGATTAGGGGGAGATAAGATCTTTTGGAACGCCCTATGTTTTCCAACTCATCTGATCATAGTCTGGTCGACTCATGGTAGTTGTGTACCAGAGAGGCGTGACGAGACGGCCTGAGACGAAATTTGATGTCAAATTAACTAAATACCATTGTGCCGTTAACTCACATTGCACTGCAGGATGTATGTAAATTCAAGTAGGACGATGCAAGGGGATAGAGAGATGCAAATTGCAATGCAAATGATTGGAGTACTATTAAATAATGTAAATAAAACGACCGTGTCCGAACGAGACAATAATAACACTCGTTTATTGCAAAATATACATCGACCACAGTGGTGCTGCAGTAAGCATAAATCGAATACATATGATATCGTGCGGGTTTACTTGTGCATATTAAAATAACAAAATGTAAATCATAAAAAATGTACGATTTCACTCGTACATACTGCCTACTCTAAAAGAACAAAATGCAAGAGCAAAAAGATGCAAAGTGCTACTCTAAAAGTAAAAAATATTAAAATAAAATTAAAAAGAATAGAAAAAGGAAGTTAATATAAAAATAAAACGTGAAAATTAAATTAGACAGTTTCTCCACGTATCGTCTTGAAGTGAATGGTGCTGTGTTTTGCCAATGGAGAAGTGGTCTTATCCGCTGATACAGGTTCGTCAGACTGCTGCCACCAGACAGCTGCTGCTGTTGCAAGTTTCCTCGGGGATCCATCATTGCAATAGCTACAATGACTACAGAGAATACAATGTAGATAATCGTTACGAGACAATAGCTACAGAGAATACAATGTAGATAATCGTATAGTGGTGAATGTCGTCGTTGCTTATAAGGGTAATGTTATAGCTTTCGACAACAAATGGCATACGTGCTATTTAAGAATTGACCAATGTGTTTAGGGTTGAATTTGGAAGTATTTCTCCTGTGTTGTAGTCATTGGTTGTTTAATGACATCCCCCTATTTTCATTTTGATTGAAAATTAGTTTAATATATGTACGTCATTAGGACGCGTTACAGGTAGCCAATAGGTTTCTCTTGTTAGATAACTTTATTAAAATATTTTTTTTTTCTTTTTTTTTTTTTTTAATTATATATATTATATAATTAAAAAATAACTAAATATCATTGGTTGTTTAAACACATCCCTATTGTCTTTTTAATTGAAAATTAGTTTGATATTGTTTTTAAAAAAAATTAAAGTACTTACAAATAATGAATTTTTGTTACAGTATTCCACCTAATGTTCCAGTTCGGCAACATCATGACGTACAACATATTTGTTTCTTTAGGCCTTATTACCGCTGTACCTGTATCTGCAGGTAAATAAACAGTTTTATATGTATTCATGCTAAATCATCATCAAGTCATTTGCGTCCATGAGGCATGGGACATTCAACGGTAAATGCAATAACTGCATCCGTCGCTGAACGGTTACCACGCGGAGGTCCCAGGTTCGACATATTTTTATGGCTTGCATTTATTTCTCTCACGAGTTAGGGTGTAATTTGTGGTTGTGTATGTAAGTGTCCATGGCACCCGTGATGCAGAGTTTTACTAGTGCGGGGCTTCAAAAAACATTGGTGGATGGCGAATCCTTAACCTCCTACACAAAAGGCAAGCATTCTCCCATACAAGAATATCACACTAAAACTGAAATGTTTATAGAATTAACCCCGTTCAGTATTTTATTATAGCCAATCGAAATAAAAAGGTGATGTTACAGGGTGACGGGCGCAGTGGCAGTGCCCCAAAGATCTTTGCGATTTAAAGCTCTGAATGGCACTGCAACTGTTATGACTATGCGTGTCGCTTACCATCAGGCGTACGACTTGTTCGGCCCGTCACTTGCTATTATAAAAAAAATATTATTTCAACAGTAACACTGATACAGACAGACATATTATTGATTATCACTAATTTCAGG